CCCCATCCCACCCACCCACCCGCCCACCCACCCACCCCCACCTGCCTCGCCGCAGGTTCGCTTCCTGGATCGGCCCGAGGGCGTGCCGCCCATCAGCGAGCTGGGCTGGGACCCGCTGCTCGACATGCCCTCCCTGCCCTCGTTTGCAGCCCAGCTGGGCGGCCAGCGGCGGGCCATCAAGGCGGTGCTGCTGGACCAGAGCTTCAGCGCCGGCATCGGCAACTGGGTGGCCGACGAGGTGCTGTACCAGGCGCGCATACACCCGGAGCAGCCGGCGCACTCGGTACCGCAGGAGCAGGTGCGCTTGCGTCGGTGGTGTGTGTCGATTGTGTGTGTGCGTGTGCGTGTGTGTGTGTGTGTGTGTGTGACGGGGGGGTTCAGTGTGGTGGCTCTGTTGCGGCAGCCCACGCCGGCCGCGCTACCCGCCCCGCCCGCCGCAGGTGGCCGCCCTGCACCGAGCCATCAGCCACGTGTGCCAGGTGGCGTGCGAGGTGGAGGCAGACTCCTCCAGGTTCCCGCCCGACTGGCTCTTCCACCACAGGTGGGTGGCGGCTGGCTGGGCTGCGCAGGTGTGCCACATCGGGTGGGCTGCAGCGGGTGCGCTGCAGCCAAGGGTGGCTCCCTGCTGCACACGCTTTGGTCGCATTGGTCGTGGGCCCCGGCAGCGCAGTGGTGGTGCGCCACCTGCGCCCCCTGCCCAGGGTCGCCGTGCGCTCGCTGCCTGCAGGTGGGGCAAGGGAAACAGCACGCCGGCCAAAGTGGGTGGGCGCAGCATCGACCACCTCACGGTCGGAGGCCGGACCAGCGCTTTTGTGCCGTCCCTGCAAAAGCTTGACAAGGCGGCCGCGGCAGGGGCGGTCGCGGCGGCAGGCGGTGGCAAGAAGGCTGGGGGTGGCGGCAAGAAGAAGAAGGCGGGGGCTGCGGCAGCCACGCAGGGCAAAGCTGCTGCTGCTGCAGCGGTGGCAGCTGCGTCGGTGATGGATGATGCGACAGGCGCGGCGGCAGTCGTGGCGGTGGCCGCGGCTCGAGGTGCGGGCAAGCCACGCAGCGCGCGCGGCAAGGCCGCTGCCACAACAGGCGAGGCAGCTGAGGCGCCGACCGCGGACGCAGGCGGGGAGCAGGGGCTGCAGCAGGCAGGCAGCACGGCGGCGAGCAGCCGAGGCAGGAGGGGCGCGGCAGGCAGCGCAGCAGCTGCCGTTCCTCAGCCGGCGGCCGGGTCGGCAGGCGCGGTTGCGGGGAACGGCAGCAAGAGGTTTCGTGCCGAGCGGCGGGCAGCCGCAAGCAGCGCACCCGCTGGCGTGGCGCAGGGCAGCGCTGGCGGGCGCAAGCGCAAGGGGCAGGCTGATGGCGCTGCTGACGCTGCTGCCGCGGGTGCGGTGGCGGTGAGTGGGCGGCAGGGCCGAGCGCGGCGCGTGCGCCAGAGTTGATGGAAGGCGCCCGACGGCCCCAGCTGCCCATTCACTGCCACGCCTCCTCTTGCTTTACACCGGACCTGTGAATGTACTGAGGAGGGTTGCTCTAGCCTGCGGCGTGGGCGATGGCTCACCGCCAGCCGTCTGGTGTGTGTGGAAGTGGACATGTGGGGAAGGAAGTCGGGGCAAGGAACTCGGGAAAAGAAATGAAATTCCATGAGGCTGCGCGCTAGTCTTGAGAGAGCAGCAGGCCGCTTGACCTCGCAAAATGGTCGGAGCGGGGGTGGGTGGGTGGTGGTGGGACTTGGGGACAGGGTGCTAATAAAAGGCAGAGGCAGGGGCAAGTGCGGCAACAGGCTTGACAAGCGGCGGCGCAGGGGAGAGATGTTGATGCGCGCGTAGGAGGGCGCCGGGGCGGGGGGGGGCAGCAGGCAAGACGAAAACAAGCTTTGGCACGGAACTGATAAGAAGGTGGCAACATGGCAGGGGCCAACATGTGTATTGACGTCTGCAACAAGGCAGCCAGGCACGGCCAGCGCAGCTGTAGACGTGTAGGGTTCATGTGCATGCAGGCTTGGGTTCAACTCAGCAGGCCAGGCTCAAGCACAATGGGCCGGCCTGGTCTGGAGACAGGCTAAAACAACAGTGGATCAACTGGATGCAGCCATCTGGGAAGCATACTCGACCAATGGACCAATGGGGAGGCAGCGGCAGGCGCGCGCGGAGCGCCTGCCTATCAACTGGGCTTGCGCGCGCGCGCAGTTCGGGTCTTGGGGAAGGCTGTGTGTTGGGCCGCCAGCGGCTTGGGTTGGCCTGGCCCGCTCAGCTGCCGGGCGGTGCCGCCGGGCGGTTGTGCACCGTCAGCAGCACATCGAACAGCACGCCCGCCAGGCCCAGCCCAAACATGAGCGCCAGCAGGGGCGAGGGGTAGGAGGGCGGCGCGCCGCGCCTGGCGGCCAGCCGCCGCGGCGCCTCCAGCCGAGGGGTGGCCGCCGAGGTGCCTGGCGCTGGCGCCAAGGCAGCGCCCGGGCCGGCCTCGTTGCTGCCCAGGGGCACGTGCTGGGCCTCAGAAGAGTTGCCGCCGCCGCCGCTGCCGCCAAACCAGGCTGCTGCCGTGGAGTCGAACCACGCCACAAACAGGACGGGCAGGATGACCTCCAGCACCAGCACCAGGTGGGACAGCGAGACGGTGCAGGGGATGCGCGAGGCGTCCACCCCGCCGCGGCTGCAGGGGCAGGGAGGCGGGCAGGCCGGCGGCACGCAATGGGCGTTGGCGCCCGAGCGCTGGCCCATGGCTGCCGCGGCTGTGCATCCCAGGCAGCAGCGCGCCGGCCAGGAGGCCGGGGAAACCCAGAGCCCCCGGCACACTACCACCCCCCCCCCCA